ACGCTCTTTAGTTACAGTGCTAAATTATACGATAAATATGAATGATGAACTACGAATGATGTGGAGGAAATCGTTTGTAATCTGTGAAATTTGAGGTTCACGTGGTGGTAAGTATGAAGATGGCTGGCTGTCTTCTGAGTTGTTCCGTTGTGTAGTCTCGTGAACGTTTACCGACGCTGTCGCCCTGGTGATAGAGGCAATAAACACCTCTGAAGCGTCCGTAAACTTCCGGAAGAGGACAGCCAACAATATATATCAGATGGAACAGAGGTCACTCGAGTCCAGAAACGAACCCAGAACATTCTGAATAAGAAGAAAATGAGAGTTTACCATTGAATCTCGACTTTCGCTTGAAATACGTGTAGCACGTCGAAATGTGAAACGTAGGTCTATAAGAAATTTGGTTTCCACTGACGGAAAAGAACTTGGCGACTTGAGGTTGCGAAGACTAAATGTTCACCGTTCACACATACGTCCGTAGCCCTCATTTGCAGGATTGGATATCATCGTAGATTTCGCGTTTTCATCTGAAACTCACCTGCCACATTCGATAGTAATAGAGAAGTAGATCAATTATATTATTAATATAATTTTAAATAGCTTGTAAGAAGAAGGGGAAACAACAGAATAACATAACAGATTTTCCTTATAATTCTAGGGAAAAATAAATTCCGGAACACAGCATGAAGCCGTAACAGACACGTGGTCTAACACATGACAGGATGATAATATTACACAGGGTTAGTGGAAGAAACTACACAATGTGGAGTATCTCTATGTAAAATTTCGGCCTACGAATATTAAAGTGATAAAATTAAATGTATGATTGGCTGAGCATATAGGACGCATGAGAAACCAAGACGTGTATATCCAATTGGTTGGAAAACCTCATATAGACAAAGGAAAGGTGGGAGGACAGCATTTTAACACACTAAATATTTATTATGTAATTAAATCCTGTCATGTTTTAAGTACTATTTAAAGCAATGTACAGCACGATGCCTTTTAAGACAAGATAGAATAAAAATTAATTCATAAGAACCTTAGGCCTGCCCTTTTTAATGACCTGATGGTAAACCGGTAGCTGTGTCATCTCAACCTTTAATGCTCACTGGTATCTATATGTCCCACCTTCTTCAACAAACAAAATACTTTCCACTTGTATTTATGGGCTTCGCAGATTCTCGCTTTAAACAGGGATTATTTCCCTGAACACCATTGACCAGGCAACCTTTCAGTTGATGAAGTGTTATGTTTTCTTTGCGGTAAGATCTGAATTCTTAAATGTTGAACTTAATGTAGCACCTCAATTCCGACCACTGTTTTACGACAATTTTGAAAGTTTTGTATTGTAATTGCAAGTGATACGGCCTCTAAAACGTGTAGTCACATTCATTATCAAAACCAGTTTGGCGTGATTTCGGACTGAATTTCATCCATGTCACAAAAATTGTTGTTAATTTTTATTCACGTTCAACCTGCGTTGTAGTTAATGCGGAATGTACCTACTTGTAATTAGTACTAAGGTAGCGATGTATAAGACGTGAGAATCGTTTTCAGCTTACTGTAGGAACGTGATTCACAGTTTGAAATGAAGTATGTAATAGGCAATCTCAGTATTGCTGAAGCAAACAAATATGGCTTCGAATTAAAAGCAGCAGATGTGTTGTAGGATTGTTAACCCATTTCTTTACGCGCCTCCGCCACGGTCTTCTCTCTTCTTCACTCTCAATTTCCTTGTAATTTATGGATCCAGCCCACTTCACATACATTACGATGCAATAACAGCTTGTCTACTGCGTACAGCACAGTTCAAAATTTACGTCTCACAATTTAGATTGGGGCGGAACCAACAATTTGAAAATCAAGTTTAATTTCGTTCTCATATCGACAAATTCATCCAGTGGTTGCGATGTTGTTCTTAAACAGAATTTGTAACACGCAGTAGCTAAATCAGGACTACTTTCAATACAGCCGTCCATCAGACATGCACCTGAGGCAGTTCTATCCAGTTCCTTAAATACATTTCCGTAAGATTCTTCAATTAAATTCTCCAACTTACAGTATTTTCCAACAGGTTTACCCACCAAAATGTTGTGTTCATTTATTGTGTCTCCATCCTATCCACATGCTTAGTCTATCCTAAATTCCTAACCTCAGATTTCACTATTCCAACAAAATCAGGCGACCTGTATAAACAATCAAATTCCTGATGATGGATGTAGTGCCGTGTAATCTGATATAATTATACCGACGTTTCGTAGGTCCTTGCTGCCTCCATAATCAGAGCGATGAATCAAATCGTTCTAAGTTCTGATTACAACTTATTCTTAGCGCAAAGCTTTTCGTTATAAGATACTGCATTTATAGACATACCTGTGCAATTTTATTTGTAATTGATTTATGATATGTCAGAATTGTCGGAAAGGTGCTTATTGCTGTGAAGTTTATCATTAACATAACAAAAGCAAGGTGGGGAAACTCTTATTTAGAAGGCAGTTCCGCCATAACGCGAACTGTTCGAATAATTGGTGCTCAGGGCAATTTAAATTTCAGGTGTCTCTGGACTTTGTTGTTTTGTTTTAAAGGTTCAGCTCCCAGCAATGATTAAGTATGTTAATTGAAGATGGCTGCCTTCTGGGCTATTGAGCTGTGTAGTCTGGTAGAAGTTTCCCGACGCATCAGAGGTCCTTGCTGCCTTTAACCTCTGAAACGTCGGTAAACATCTACCGGACTACACAGCTCAATAGCCCAGAAGGCAGCCATCTTCAGACTCATCGCCGTGAAAACTTCAAATCCTGCTAAGTATTGTAATTCTCCACAATTATATTACAGAAATTTTATTGGTAAATACGAAGTACAATTAAAATTAGTTCACTTAAAAGTAAAAACATAAGTAACCCATGGCCATTTTATGTCCAAAAGAGAGGACCTGCAACGTGAAAACGGTGTCCTTGAGAACCTAATAGTTACCTCATCTAGTCAAGAAATACCTCGCCTTTTATGGGAACTGAAAGTTTATTTCCGTATTTGTCAGAGCCCGCCATTGATCCTTGTCCTGAGCCAGATGAATCCAATCTATGTCTCCAAACCTTATTTCCCTAAGATCTGTTGTAATATTTTTTCCTATTCACGCCTAGGTCTTCTGAGGGGTTTCTTCCCTTCAAGCTTCCAAACGAAATATTTGTGAGCGTTTCTTATGTGCCTCATGCTCGTATTCATTCGATCACCTTAACGCCCTAACGTTTGCTAAAAAGTATAAATGTTGGTGCTTCACGTAATGTACTCTTCTCCGGTCTCCTGTTACTTCAGTGCTCCTAGATCTAAATATTTTCTTATGTGTATTGTTTTCAGACATCCTCAACATTTGTTCTTCCCTTGTCGTGAAAGATTCGATTTTACACCCGTAGAAGACGACAGTTTAAATTGTAGTTTTGCCTGTTTTATCTTCACGTCTATAGACACCAGATGAGTAGACAAAAGACTGAATTTAATTTGCTCGTTGTCAAATGTTTGCACTTTGTCACATTTTTAAGGGATTTATTATCAGTCTTTTATGTTATGGTTTTGTTCTGTGTAGGCTATTTAGTTTACTTCTAGCATGTAAGAGGCTTTCAAGTAATTCAACTTATTTCTTTGTAATTGTGTCAGAGGTTTTGATGTAAACAAACATATTGGGAAGAAGACGGATGGCTTCTGTCAGTAACGTAATCATATGTTAAGACACGCAATGAATAGAAGTCTTACAATCATTTTCCATTACATATTCCCGTAAAGTAGATAAAAGTAACAAAAATAAAATTGGCTACCGTCTGCAAGCTTGCATCTGTGTAGTTCTTTCCTCTTCAACGGTGGTTACAAAGCAGGCCCGTTGGTTGTCTAACTCCATGGAGCAGAGTCCTTGAAAATCTAACATTGTCTCTTTTATTTAATAAGTTTTCCGTCACTGCCTTATTCATTGGAGCCGGCCACTGGGCAATTGTCACTTCAGTTTAATACATCTTAAAAAATTATTTACATTAGATAAATTTGAATAACCTGACTATTAACTTGTATTATCCTTCCAGGTCGTTATCGGTTCATTTCCAACATATGACACACAATTTACACTCCTGTCCTCCACCGAAAGCTCACTTATTTCCATTGTGTTGATGCGATGTCTGAAAATCTAGTGTAGTGTCCATGGTTTATTGGTGTTTACTGGTGTAATATCGAGAATGTTGGTTCAACTGTCGTTGCAGTCGGCGGCGCGGCGGGCGGGCACCAGTTGTGCCAACTGCAAGACAACAACCACGACGTTATGGCGTCGGAACCAGAATGGAGAGCCGGTCTGCAACGCCTGCGGATTATACTACAAGCTGCACAATGTGAGTACCACAATGCTCATTGACTTTAATAAAACTTTCATTGCATTGAACAACAGTGCACGATACAGAACGGCCATCCCCGGACAAGACCAACTGTTGGCATTGCTGTCCAGTCTAGGCCCTTCGTTATACGAACTCTTTAAACGCGATGCATGGTATGGATTTAATATTATTACGATGATCAAATTATGGAAGAAACGTGAATGGTCAAAACTAAGAAAGAGCTTTATCAACATTGCTTTTCAATTTTGATTTAGAATAAGCTGACCAGAAGTTACGAAGAAGTAAACTGCATTTGAATTGAGAATATCAGCTTCTCTGCTTTAAAAATTCTCATTTGCCCGATCATCATAAAATAAAACACGTTTATTGGATGCTTTTAAAGAAGTTGGCCTAGAAGTAACCGCACAGAAATCTAAGTAGAGAACAAAGGACAAATTAGTTATATGAAGTTAGGTAATAAAACCTTTGAAAATGGAGTAGAGTTGAGATATTTTGAGAAAGACGTTATCAAATGGAAATCGGACTCACGAGAGAGTTAAGAGTTGATAAAGTTCGCTGAATGTTTACTACCATTCGGTTCAAAACCTTGTGTCTTCCCGTTTAATATGTAAGAACCTAAAGATTAAAATATACAAAATTATAATTTTACCTGTTTCTTTGTATGAATGAAAATGTATAAAATGACGTCATGGTGGAAACTATTTAAGGCTAATACAAATTAGCCTGTGGTCAGCCATTTTTCTGTGATAGGAAGCTAGCAGGTCAGAAGAAAGGAAGCAGATTCATGGGACTGACATTTACAAGATATCTTGAAATAGTTATCTTTTGGAGTGACAATTATAGTGTAGGCTTGTCCATACCAGATGAGAGGAAACTGAAAATTGTATAAAATTATTTGTGTAAATAACAATGGACCTAACAGATAGTTTCCTTCTTTTCAATTTATCTAAATTTTAAAGAAACACTGCGTCAACTAGCCTAGTGTATGTCGGCATTTGTCCCGAAGTACAAAGCACGCCATACATTTGTGAATGGACACTTGAAGAAGGAAACCCATCCTTGTGACCCTCTCAATGGACCGTATCGTGTATCCAAAAAGAATACATCCACTTTCGAAATTCTTTGGTTCCCTTTTATCATCTGAGTTACCGCCATTAGCCCCACCCTGAAGACTCATTCCAAATGGCATCGTCTTTCCCTCGTATGTCATACGTCTTGGTACATGTTACATCTTACAATGCAATCTACTGGCGCTTTGACGGACAGTTCACTTAAGAACTCTCTCTCTCTCTCTGTGGTCTTTTATTTGACTGGGCCACTGACCCTCCGTTACGTATGTCACAGAGCACTTTGACTCCGCTGCTAGCCGGTTATGTCAAAGTGGGATCTAGTATACAGCACTAAAAGCAAAATTTTAGGAGGAGATGCCCGAGGAATGTAACGCGTACAGCAGAGATAGAAATCGTATACAAATTTTAGTCAGTAACCCTGAAGGAAAGAGACCTCACGGAAGACCTAAGAATAAATGGGAACAGTACTCAAATGGATCTGAAATAAAAAGGTTAGAAGGACGTAGACTCGATTCGGGGCTTAGAAAATAGGATCTTGTGGACAGGGTAATGGACCTTAGAATTTTGAGAAAGGTGGGAACATTGAATAGCCGAGTGACTTTTAGCTTTTTAAGAACAACTCTGCGTAGATACCAAGCCTGAAGGAGGATTGGGGGCGTGGTGATCACATCGTGGTTGCCGTAAAGTGTTGTTGCCTCGTATTTAGATACCGCCGTCTCGGAGGAACGTACTGCCTCCATATTCAGGCCTAAAGACAATAGAAACATTGGTTTCTAGCTGCGAGTCCACACGGCTTTAAATCGCAGAAGACAAAGATCGATAATTTTACAATATCTCGCTTCTTACTTATTTACCTGTTGTAGGCCTGGAAACAAATCTAAGTGGCGGTTGAAAGTGTGCGACAGTGGTAGTGCTGGCTGAGAAAATATCACATGGGTTTAACTTGAGATCAATTAATTTTAACTGAATTATTTTTCGATATACCCCAATTTGTCCTTGTGGACCCAACATTCACTCAACTGTTGTCTGTTCATCGATACGTGCCAGTGGATGTAAACATGGAAGAGTGCGTAATCATCACGTTACCCCCTGTTATGGGGGTTGCACTGGCGCGTTAACTGCTGGATCACGTAACTGATACTTAAGTATGAACCAATTCTCGTGCTTCTGTTTTCACCGTCTCGTCTCCCTGAATGGATTATAGTTAAGAAAAATATTTTCCTTTTAAGTGACCCAAAGCTTCATTTTCGTGTCAATAAGAGCCCACCACTGGTCTCAGTTCTGAGCTGAATGAATCCAGTCAACAACCTGACTTTGTAATATTTCTGCCTTTCAATGTATGCAGAACTTTTCAAGGTGTCTGTTGCATTCCGATTTCTTAACTAAAATTATGTACACATTTTTTATCTCCCCATAATATTGTGTACGTAAAGAAATACAACGAAACAGTGTATTAGACCTATTCTGTTGTGTGGCGATATATCTGTAACCTTATTAGGTTCCTTGATAAGGGAATTTGTGGCTGTGAGGTATGGTATATCGACTGTTGACTAACTTTGACAAGAGCTATTTATCTTGCTATAAATGTAAACGTAATGTGGAAATTATTAGATAATTTTATTGTATTTAGTTGGTAACTTGTAGCATTAAGGTGACATAACTTGACTAACATTATTATTATCATCATCATATCATCAATATAATCTTAATATTATAACGTATGAATGCGTTTTCAGAATAAAATAAATTAATATTTTTTAGTTGCGTGTTTCAACTAAAATATTAATTTTCATTTGCCTTAAACCTCAATCAGCAGCAAGTGTCTGTGAAATGTCGCCACAGCATTTTAGTGTGTGTACATCGTTTTGGGACGTGCTGTACAACAAAGAAATCGACATGACAAGAGGACGCTCAGATGTACTGACTGTCGTATAATGCCTTTTTGGTATTGTTGTAAAGGCTTTTACGTAATTGTTGTCCTCATGTTTCCAGTTGTCTTGGCGATCGTCAATTCAGCGTAATGACGTGTGCAATTGTAGCGAGCAAACGGAGCGTGTAGATACGAGTGAGAATCGAGAGGGGCTCTACCGGAACCCGGAAACGGAAATGCTTAGCACGCGTAGCAGGCTGCTAGTTCCGCCCAGACACTTGACTTTTGTTTGCTAGACGTGACACAAGAGACGGATGGCAGATCTTTAAGACTTTTGTGCGGCATGAAGGCCTAAAGGAAACGCTAGAAATGACACTAATGGATGTGAAGTTGAAGAATTGCTTTCTTGGTAATAAAATTGCTAGTAGACATTTGTAAATTACCACATATGTTGAGCTTTGTAGTGGCTGAAACAAGGGCACAAATTCAACGGAATATCAGACGCACATTTTGTTCAGTTTGGTACTTAAAAGTGTTTCTTCGCAAATACAGAAACAAAAAATTGTGCGTGAGATGAAGTTATCACGGCGGACAAGATGGCTGCTTCATGGGTTGTTGCGTCGTGTCGTCCAGTGTTCTATCAACGTTTCAGATATGCTTGTTGCCTCCATCATCAGGACGATGATGATAGAGGCAGAAAGCCCCTATGAAACGTCTGTATACATCTATCAGACCACACGGAGTATTTTCAACGTGTACAATTACGTTTTCTTCACCTGAAAGCTCAACACTTTTACATCTGCAGGCTTTTTTGGCGACGAAGGACATGAACCCCTAGCAACAAGGTAAAGTTTCGCTTGTCCATGAGGGGAGGGGGTGAGCTTAGATAGAAGTTTCACGCACTCAGGATCTCTGCGCAGAGTTGAGATGTTGAATGTTTAGCGTCACACTCCGCCATCTTTACACTCGGGGGAAAACCTTTCCAATAGGCCTGCTTATTACATAGGAGAATGGACGAGTTCCTGAACACTGTTGAAGGGGGGCAACACCCAGGCCTGTTACTGCGATCAAAAGTCCAGTGGTTGAGGTCGTAGTCACTCAGTTTACTGAGTGCCTCTGCAGAAACTTCAGATTCATAAAATAAACAAGATTCCTCATGTCTTCCACAGAGATTTATATTTTTCTTTCATTCCGAATGGCTTTTCATGTTCTTAAGCGATATGTATTGTGTGATTTATTTTAATTTCGTGACGTATATTTGTACCAATTTATGTTTCCAAATTACCTTAATTCAAAAAATAAATACGTATGTTGGTGTTAATGGGTTGTTGTGTTCACAGCAAATAACTAGGAACATTTTCATGAAGCATAAGCTGATAGTCGCTCTGGTAGCCTAGTCAATAAATCCGTCGCCTTTTATGAAACTCGTTGTCCACAAGAGCCGGGACCGGTCCTGTCAAAGCCAGATTAATCCAGTCGACATTCTCCCACCCTGTTTCCCTAAGATATATTGTAATAAACATCGCGTCTACGTACAGGTCTTCTTATTTGAATTCATATAAAATGTAATACATATATCTAATCTTTACCATGCGCGCTACATTCATCATCCATCTAATCTTCCTGAGTCCATGAGTATAACAATATTTGGTAAATTGTAACCTGTAAATCGTGGATTCTGTCGTTATGAAATTTTGTCCAGCCTCGTGTCACTTCATCTGTCTTATGCCTAAATATTTTCCTCAGTACACGAATACCAATCATTTACAATTTGTGTTTGTCTCTTAACACGAGAGATTGTTCATACCCGTACAAAACAACGAAACTTATAGTCTCTTTTGTATAATAATATTTGCATTCTACATAGACGTAATGACAGTAGACAGTGAACTACTTGGATTCCTAATACTAAACTCAAAATAATTTATGATATATTTTAAAGTATTTCTATAGAGTTTAAGCATATTTGTATTCATCTGCAGATGTGCAGTTAAGTAGTCTGGTTAATTACTTTATTTATTTATTCTCGATTTATTTATTCAAGCGTTTAGTTGGTTATGTTGAGTAGCCTCGAAGTATTTTATAATCGGTGAATATGAATTGCAAAAGACAAGGAAAAATTTATTCTTGTTTTCATCTTATCCACTAGGGACTCAAGGAAAGATTTCGTATAGTCAATCATCGGCTCGTGATACGAACACTGGTGCTCGTAATGTGTAACAGGACAGCTAACCAATCGACTCTGGGTACATTTATGCAGTAGTGGACATGCAGCTTGTAGACTTTTGAATGTTAATGATTTTATATTGAATAACATAACTTTTTTTAAATCGTGATTTTTGTTGCCTCTTTGCGCTTGTATTATTGAAGGTAAATCTTGTTACTGTGTGGTCGTGTGATGCATTTTTGTGTAGCTGAGCCCCTTCAAAATTGATACAGCTACCCAATACAACCCGCATACAAACAAACATATGGGTAAGTTTGGAAGCTTTTCTTACCCCGGGTGTCAGTGTTCAATGAATAGTCCCCCCACTGACGATATGCACTTACGCTTTTCAATACACACTGCCATCCCATGTTACCTACTCTAGTACACAAAAGTCCCCTGTGAGATTATACAGAATGCAATATAAGAGGAACCATTCAAAAGCTTGTGGTCCTCACTCCCTCCATTGCTCCACTTTTCAGGATAAGGGCCCAGCTTAGGATTTTAAAGTTGAAAGCATTACGAACATTCATACTGCGGTGTTTGCATAATTTTCTATTTGAAAGTTACGTACGCAATAAGGCAGAAAGAAAATTGCCTCTTGAAAATGCACAAACACATCGCGTTTTCTGTACCCATGCCTACGAATTTTACTGTCTTGCTTGTAGGGAACGAATACCAGTTTTTGTTTTTGGTTTGTAAAGCCTTAAATTGTTGTACAAAGCATTTTAAACGTTTTCAGCACCGGTGTTTTCCGTAGTATTAAATGTGCTGAAGTTGCAGGCGCCATTTCGCCCAATAATCCCATTCAAATAGTAAAATGTTTAAGGTAGGGTTTTAGGTTGATGGCCTGACCTTGAAATGCCTACAAGGGCATGAAACATACCGTTCTTTTTGTCTGTAAGGTTTTATTAGTGAACAAAGGTTTGCAGATAAAAGGGCTAACTTGGATGTTTGTAATAAATTCATAAAATTCTTCAGACTTTACTGCATATAGCAGTCTCAAACGTAAAGGACTAACTTAACTTTAGCTGAAAATTACAATTTTGATTTATTAGCATTATTATTTTAAGATTTGATTACTTATTTTATCCTTATAATTCACGTTGTCCCACAGGATGTCAAGCTGACATAGCCTGTGTTGAGCTGTCAATCTGAGTGAGTTTCATTCCAATTGTTTATCAGCTGATTGCGGGCGGCTTGTTCCATCATCAACGTCGTTGCATTATTATTTTTCGTTATAGTTATTTTTCGTCACTTCCATTTTAAACCCCTAGTTCCTCCTGCCGTTCATATGTTATGCGTTAGGCACTCAGATTTTTATTTTTCATCACACACCTTTAATTTTTATCCATTTCATTGTACACGGTCAGTTCTTATTTATCTCTGTAGTTTTGGACCCACAGTTTATTTTTATGTTATTTATTTTAGACCTTCTATTCTTGCTGACCTCTTTCAGTTTAGAAACTCAGTCGTCAAATTTCATTTCAAGCACTTCGCTTCTTTCCTCAGCTCATTTTAGATTCTCAGTTCCTGAGCACCTGAGTTCTTGTAAAACAGTTTCCTTTCCGGAAGCGCCATTTGTTTGTGGCCTTTGTGCTATTGTCTGCCGACCTGGTTCCAATATTACCGGCTTATTTCCGACAATGGACAGATATTCTTACTCTGCTAATGCTTAAAATTCACCAGAAGCCCACACGCCCTGAAAAGATAACTTGAAGCCAAATAGTTTAAAGCTAATTTAACGTTAAAGCGCCCGCGACCGCTTTCCACGAATCATGAATGAAAGACTCGTATTGTGAGTTATACTTAGCGCTTGCTCCGGTCTGCTCCGTTAACTCAGTTAGTTTGTCAGTTAATTGAAAGGACTGACATTGCCATCCGAAACGCTGCTTCCAGTGGATGTTTCTCTACAGATCCTTTTTTTGATTTTTCTATCTGATAGCGTCGAATGCTCATACTTCCAGAAGTGCATTCCGCGTTGCTTCTACAGTTAAGCGGGAAGGGTCTAGTGACACTTAAGGGGTAAAATTGGACTTGTAATTTTTCCTAAGGACAGTTTCCTCTACTCTCGGGCGCGATGCAATTCCTAAGATGGAACACCAATTGCAGATCTGTCAGTGCTGACGCAGTTACAGAAATGTTTTACGCGTCGCAATAATATCCATATTTTCCTCTGCTGTTCTAGAAATATGGTCGTTTAGAAACGTTTTATTGGATATGATAGAAGACAGCGGCTTCGTGTACAAATATGAATTGTTAATTCTCAAAATATCCTGTCCTGTTCAAGAATTCGGTGCTTTGTGTAGTTATATGTAGAAGGTTGTGGTATTTTATATTCTATCACATAAACATGGTCCTCCTTATCGATAGCATGTGGACCAAAGGTGGACGAAACGTTTAATGACTTCCACGAAATTTGTTACACTATTACAAAATTACTCAAATATAAAGCCTTGATCGTAAAGCAGTTGAAGGCAACACAAAGTGATGTATATTTAAATGTGTCGATATGCTTATGGAACGTCAACAGCATCCAGCCTGCGAAAATTACATTTTCAGGAGAGCTGAAAGAATTGACTTCCGGGGACACGGTGAGGAATGAAATTGTGAGACGAGACCTAATTTATCTTTATTACCCACAAAGGAAAGGATTCAAAGTTTCTACACAATGTACCATGGATGGAACATGTAACTGTCCAATTCTATATATCAGGGCCTTCCTTGAGTATCT